AAACGTATGTAAATGTGGAAGATGTTTTTTGCTTCAAAGCCAAGTGATTTTTTTAATTAGGGCATTAACAACCTGATTGAAAAATGGAAAAGCATCATCAATAATAATGAAGACTATTTCATTTAATAAATGTTTTGTTTCGATATATAAGTTGTTCGGGTTTTTTCATCTAAAACAAAAGCAACATTAATTTCTTGATGACCTAATATATATATACATTTATCATTTTTACTATATTGACTTTTCAGATATGTCTGTTAACATTATAGAAGTTGCAATGACACAGTGCATGTGCACTCACGTTACTGTATCCAAGAATATAAAACTAGCCTATACAAAATGACATGTCTTGGCTGTGTTTTAGTGGACAAGTATTTTGTAAAATATACTTATGTTTCAGTTATAAAACATATGTATATACATTATTACAATTTACAAATAAGATCTTAAACTTATTTTTCTTAAAACACAGAACAGTAAATAAAGAAGTAAACAATTATCTCTTCTAGTTATGAGCTTTCTACTCATTTGTTGCTTGCCATAATTTGCTAAGCCTTATCAAATTTCAGATGTCGAGGATGTGAAATGAATTTTTTTTTAATGTTTTATATATACATTTTGAAATAATCGAAAATCATAAATTACTACATCAATACGATAGAATTCTACTATAATTTATTGAGCTTAGTAACTAAGCTGTATTTGGATTTTTAAAAAATATGAAATTTTGAGCTCACTAAAGTCTTACCTTACCACTTCAAATTTGCTATGAAAAGAAAGCCCCCCCCCCATGTAAGTACTTTACAAAGGCTCAGAGAACCACATGAGACGCATTGTGAGCTTTCAATTGGTTATTCACACATCACAGACAGAAGTAGGAGTACATGAGCAAGTGTTTCCAAAAATGCAAAGAGGTGGGCAGGGCCCATTGTGTTTGAGTCAGTAAATGTAGTGATGTCTCAGCAAATAAAAAAGACCGGAGGTTCTTATTTTATATTCTAGCTTTAGAGTATCCATAATTTGAGTTTCTAATTCATAAAAAACTATAGACATTGTATTTGAACATCACAAACAACTAATTTGAACCAATGCTACATTCAACATACCACGTGACACACAAAAATTGATTTTTAGGTGTTTTTTTTATTTACTACCAAACTTATTCACAAATTCATAAAATAGTATTTAAATGAAGTTTTGAATGCGAGTCCAAAAATGTGATGACATGGCCTTTGACCTATGTCAGTAGGATTAACAAAATAATAAATAAGAGTTTGCAGTTGATAGTTTCCCCAACAAAAAGTTCATTAGCTTCTGGGCACAACTCATAATCAACAGTTGTTTTTTCATGAGAAAGATGAATCAAGAAACTAAAAACACAACAATTCCATTTTACCCAATACCTGTTAAGGATACCTTAGGTCTGCTTAAACAGTCTTGGAAATCAATGTCTCCATACAGTGAATAGCTTATCAAGTTATGTGCTATAAATTGATCAAGAAGTCTTAAGCAGAAGCTTGTTACTATGGTAATTTAAGTGCCAGATAATAGTGCATAACCATCAAACTTGAATGTCATTCTTATAAAGTACAAGTATTATTTCACAGAATTTCATCACGCTACACTTAATTGATTCATTCTACATTATAGCAGCTTAGAATGGTGAATTACATTAAACATTATTGGTATTTGTATTTTACTCCTAAAGAAGAAAAGATAACCTGCTAAAAGTACTTGATGTTCTATGTCATTCTTCTCATGATTTCTTAAAATTATGTATCTAAACCAGTATTTTTTAAATAACATGGGCTGTTAACTTGTACATTGTGTGCTCTTAAACTTTATTTTAGTTAAACTTGCAAACTTGAGAAAACTTGCAAATAAAATGAGGAAAAAATATTTAATTTTAATAGTAGCTTGACACCCTCCCCCCCCCAAAAAAAAAGTGAATTTAACATTTTGATCACATAACCATCATTCTTAACTATTTTTTTCTTTCACAGTTAAATGGCTAGGATCCAAGTATCCATTGATACTCTTAGTATTTCTGTGTTTATAAATTTATCCATGTAACTTACTTGTAACTGGAGAAAAAGCTTTTGAAGTTGAAATGGAATACTTTTTACTCCATCTTCTTCAGTGCCATCAAACTCCCACCTGTTAAATAGAAATAATAATAATTCAGGTTTAATGCTAATTAACTACCTATTTATACAAGACTTTTCACATTTTTATTTAGTTTTAAATCTTAAAGTTAAAAAGAAACACCAAAGTTTTATGTAAGTAATATTACATTTCTCCCAAAGTTGAATTTAACAACCATTCTAATTAATTAAACTAGTAATTATCTTTAATTTTGATGCAGGTTATCCCTATCATGTGTTACATAAAGCACCATATACTATGTAAATAATATTATACCTCACAAGTCTATCTAATAAGAAAAATATTTTATTATAGTCTAGTAGTCGACATGGAGTTATGTTAGTTTATACACTAATTCTTCAAATATCCATGACTTATTTGAATGTTCCTCGAACACTTCAAAATTTGGAAAAAAACTTAGCTGCTGGTCCAACTTAACAAATCAATAATGAGAAGGACTCAATATGACAAGATTTCTAGGGGTGAGAGGTTTTACTATCCCTCTTCTTGGTTGGTTTCAAAAACCCCAACTTCATGCATGTTGTCAATTTGTTTTTTCTCAGCTTTGGTGAGTTGACTTTTGTCTATTTGCTTATGTGCATATTGATACATGAAAAATTCTTACCTTCATCTTTTCAGCTGATTATGCAACAGGTTGAAGGTGCAGGATTAATTTTAATTTTTGAACTTGGAACAAATCTACATCAAGGATATTAGTATGAATATCCTTTAATAGAACAGTAACCAAAAAATTTTTGAAGCTGACTACAGGTTTGAAAGTCTTTAAAACACTTCAAATAAAGAAAGAAATCTAAACGAAAGTTGCACACTTCTAGGTATGCTGAGTAGTAATGAAGAGCCTAGAATAATAGTCAACACTTCCAAAGGACTGATGATGGTTATTTTTAAAGAATTTAACAATTTTTTCTCCAGATATGTGACAAATGTCCAATCCATTATGTAATCCAATTTGATATCACATTATCCAGTGAAATGTGATCCAATTGGAAAATAATTTTGTAATGAATCTGAAAATCATATATTTCCACTAATCAATTATCTCATAATATTATGCAGGCATGACATTTTTTATCATGCATCACACATAATAAGTATTGCATTGTAACATCTTCATCTAAATTAATCCTATGCATACAGAAGGATCAAAGTGAAGACATCACAACCTTTTTAATTAGAGTTACTAACTTTATTGCCAATAAACTTAACATCAAAACGTAACTCATAATTTACAGTTTTACATTAGTTAACCTTTAATTTCTTAATTTTGATGCATCTCCCCTCCGATTTCTTTTTTTTTTCCTTCATTTCCTTCAAAGGTTTCAGAGATGCCAACTGAGAAGAAATTCAATCTATTGATATTGACAGGTCAGAATACAAAATTTAAACCTCCCAAATCTTTGAACTACTGATAAATAAATAGATTTTTGACACCCACCATTCCATCTAGTCATAGCTTTGAATATATATATATATATATATATACACACACACACACACACACACACACACACACACACACACACACTACGTCTACTTCTACACTACTAATTAACGTTAAACAAGTAAGTAAGTTAGTTACTTTCCGTTACCTTCTAGTATCGTGTACGTAGTTAGGTTTATTT